TCCTCTGTGTTTTCTGCCAAGGTGCTGATACATACTGCAAGTTTTACTTCTTACTGCCTCTTCTGAATTCTGACTACACAAAGCGTGGCTATCAAATGCCTGATATATTGTATACTGTCCATGAAAGCGTTGAGTTACAAAGCACAGAAGACCTACACGTATTTTGTAGCAATAGCTGTCAGAGGAATTTTTGGAAAAAAAAAATCCCCTGTTAAAAATAGTCTCAATTTTTCGCTTGACTGAACTGTAAAAGATTTGTTTCCCTAATTATACAGACACAATGGTTTAACTTGAGTTGCAAAAGCTTGCTGTTACTCTTCATCAGCATCTCTAATTCAGCAATAGCATGTCTGCAACATTGAGAGAAAACAGAAAAAGATTTGTGGTTTCTGCCATTATCAGTTATGGTATCAAATCCATTTTAGTGTTGAGGTGAGACCCTAAATATGTTCCTGTTAGAATAACTCTTGTTCAGCAGATACTGCAAACTGTCGGGCACGGAGAGGCTTTCAGGAGCTGCTGGCTATGCATGCAGCAGATGCTGGGCTGCAAGGTTACTCTGTTGCTGTTAATGGGATAATAGGGCATCATACTCTGCTATGAAGAACCTTAAGTACCTCAAATTAGACTCATTCATGGAAATACTCAAGCTGTATTAGCATTGAGTTTGAGCACAGAATACGTGCTCATTCTTTTTTCATTTCTACTTAACTGGTTTTCCTGAATTTCCACTGTAAGAAATAACAGATTTCTCCTTTGACCTTCCTGTTGAACCTCCACCAATACGCATCTTGCTTTGCTTTGCCTTCCACCTCCTGCATTTTCTTGTTCTCTTTCCTAATAGCATCTTCCATCACTTTCAGTGAGGACATTATCTTCCTTCCTTTCTTACAGGAAGAGGAGCTCACAAGATCACTGGTGTCAGAATATGAATCATTATTTTTCTTTTTTAAAACTTTCTTTATGACTCTACCAGTTCTCAGCCAGTACCGTAGCCCTTTGCTACAGTCTCTTCACCTTTCTGCTACTCCTTTTCTCTCACTTTCCACTTTCAGCATCTCCTCTAGTTCTCCACCTAGTCTCCCCAACACCCTGCAGTATTTCTGGCCTCCTGCAGACTCTGCCTCTATTCTGCTTCAGGGAAATTCCATTTGCAGCAAACCCCCGTGCTGATCCACCTGGCTCTCATGCCACCAGGCATCCTGCTACTTTCATTGCAGTCCTTCCTAACCATGACCCATTAGGACTGGTCCTGTATGCAAAGTATGTAGTGCCTCACATGTTGAAACCCCTGATGACAAAGAACCTTCAAAAAAGTAAAAAGAAGTTACACAAAAACATTGTCCTAGCTTGTTGGCTTCCTTAAGCTTTGAAAGCTGTCATTAACTACGGGCTTCCTTTTGGCTGAAGTCTGTAAGTGACAATGTTTGCAAGCATGGTGCTCATTAGCAGCCAGGATGTGTGAGGCCAATGCTCCTCTTGCAAAGCACATTTAATTTTATCAGATAATCAAGCTATTTTTAATCACAAAGTGCTCTTTCAAAATGACAAGAGCATGCATGATCCAAAAAATGAACAGATACAGAGGCAACCAGTTCTATTTTAAAACCTCTGCTGAGAAGATAAAAATGATTCTGGGGCTGAAGTGCTGTGTTCCAACATTTACAGGCTTTCTTGTCAGTTGAAGAGCTGTGGGAGACGGAAGAGCAAAAATCAAGTTAGAGAGATAATACACAGGAAGCCAATGCTACATCAGGTTAAAAACAGCCAGTGCTTTCAGTGACAAACTTGGAAACCAGAGTGGAAATACTGCTACACTAAACTATGCAGAACATGTCTACTCTGTCCCTCTTTTTCTTTATAAAATAGCATGAAGCAAAGAATTATCACCAAGAAATGGCAGAAGTCAGATGCCAGCCAAGCTGCTTCACGTATGAACAAAGAATCTGTCTGCCTTTCTCACACACTGAGTTATCACGCTCTTGGAAGAAAATGAAGATCATCTATTTAAATAGTGTCTGTATGAATCATAGGAAAAAAAAGGTTATTGGGGAAGATCATCCCCCTTATCACTACTATTAGTGTTGAAGACAGAACAAATTCAAATCAAACTGAAAGCCAAGGCAAGCCAGGACTGACCTCCTCCCAGCTCTCTGAGGTTCTCAAGCTCTTTTAGAATCCTAAGTTTCTTCACCAGAGAGTGGTCAGGTACTGGAACAGTCTTTCTGGGGCAGTGGTCACTGTGCCAAGCTGGAGTTCAAGAAGCATTTGGACAGTGCTCAGACAGATGGTCTGATTTTTGGGTGGCCTTGTGTGGAGAAAGGAGTTGGACTTGATGATCCTTAAGTATCCCTTCCAACAATACTCTATGATGCTAGCTGTGGTGCGATTCCTGCTCTCTCTCCACTCCAAAAAAGCTCAAACCTAAAAGAACTGAAGTGACCGTTTTCAGGATGATCCTGCTTCAACACAGGAACCTCACTATGAAGGCACAGGACAAAGCATTCATTGTGATTCTTTTTTTGGTTTGATAGTCTTTCAAGAACTTCCTATGTTTTTATATTAGTGAAAACGTAGTCTGTGGTAAAGTGATTTGTGCCTTCTGTTTTCCAGAACAGTTGCCACAGACGTTTGTAGCTCCATTGTCTGAAAGTTCAGTGCAATGCATGTGTATTTTTATTTCTATGGTCTCTCATAGATCTGGCAGGCCATCTTACTCCTACATGTCCTACAAAGGGACAACCTCAGTAGCTACATTTATCCATTTTCATCTGCATCTTGGTAAGTTCATAAATCCTCCAAAATTATTATCATGCCACACAAGTCAGATGTGCTAGAGCTCCTTGAAATACTAGATGAGCACACACTTTGTGTAGGTCAAGGTTTTTCAGCAAGTCCATGGCCCAGTATTGACAAAAGTGCTTTTATTCTGTCATCCTCCTGTACTTAAGAAGTTCTAAATGAAATTCTGGCTGTAACACAGCAGGAGGTGATGCTTAGACTGATTTAGCTTGCTGTTTAAAAAGCCCAAAGCCACAGCGAACCTAAATAGGGAAATATATGTTGGGGCAGAATTTCCTTTCAGATTTTTGTACATTATTCTGCTCTGGAACCCAGGAGTCTTGTTTGGCTCCATCTCCTCACTCAGCACACTATAAACTGCGGGAAGCCAAGTTTTTAACACTTATTTAGCAGAGGAGAGTGTTAGCAGGCAGGTGGCTGGCTCCCCACCTGGGTAGGGCAGACAGACGGCTTTTCTTCCGCATCACTTTGTATCCCTCTTATGTAACCCAATAAATCTGAAATAAGGAAGGCCACCAAGATGATCAGAAAGCTGGAGCACCTCTCCTATGAAGAAAGGTTGAGGGAACTGGGTTTGTTTAGCTTGGAGAAGAGAAGGCTTTGAGGAGACCTCACTGTGGCCTTCCAGCACTCAAAAGGAGCATATAAACAGGAGTGGGAATGGCTGTTTACAAGTATGGATAGTGACAGGACAAGGGGGAATGGTTTTAAACTGAGACAGGGGAGGTTTAGGTTAGATATTAGGAGGAAGTTTTTCACACAGAGGGTGGTGACCTCTGGAGGCACTGGAACAGGTTGCCCAAGGAGGCTGTGGATGCCCCATCCCTGGAGGCATTCAAGGCCAGGCTGGATGTGGCTCTGGGCAGCCTGGTCTGCTGGTTGGCGACCCTGTACATAGCAGGGGGTTGAAACTAGATGATCATTGTGGTCCTTTTCAATCCAGGTCCTTTTCAACTACGATTCTGTGATTCTAAAATACATATATTATACCTACACATCCAGGCAGACAAATGCACAGCAGTTATAAGCTCTGTATCTATACACTTTCACTGTACACAGAGCATTCTTAGAACATCTATAGGTAAGGTGTCATTTCCACACAGCTATGTGTGACGTTGGTGATTAATGCTATGCCATGTGCCTCACCACAGATGAACACACAATGCAGAGACTGCTCTGGAGGTGAAAACATCATGTATGTGAGAGCTGTGTTATTGTGGCTGAATTTCACTGTGTGCCTTGCTTAAATCTTGTTCTTTTTCTGGGACACCATCCACTGCCACGCAGTTGGCAGGACGGGGATGTCACTTTCCTGCCAGATGCTCACCTTAACCAGGAACACGGGATTGGGATCCACCTGTGAGCACCTGCAGGTGTGCTGCACATTTTGATGCCGAGTGTTGGAATTAAAGCACTTGAATCACAGAACTGCAGGGGTTGGAAAAGGACCTCTGCAGATCATCTGCTCCGATCCTCAGCTGCATGCAGCAGGTTCCCACGAAGTCAACATCTCATTCACTTCCATCTCGAATGAAGAGATGTATCTAATCTGTTCTTAGCAGCCTAAAAGAGGCGACATCCTAAGCCTGAGGAGGTAGCACCGTGTCCCCGGCTAGTTAACCAGACATGGGTACGAGGGGACACCAGGAGGTCCGGACGTGCTGCGGCGGTGCCCACTTTAGGCACAGATGTCCGCGCTCAGCAGCCGCGAGCACCGAAACAAAAACGCGGCTGAAACTTCTGAAACCCACAGCAGACTGGAAAAGCCGCCTCTCACCCGGTCCCGCCTCTGAATAGGCATTCGCGCTGCGGCGCGCTCTCTCTCTGGACAGCTAACAGAGCCCGCAGGACCCAGCCCGCCTCCTCAGCTCCTGCCGACACTCCCCCCGTGCTGAGGAGAGCGCCGCAGCGCTCCTCCCGCCGGACGAACGTTGGGGCAGGGAAGAGGCAGCGAGGAGGCACGTCGCGGCTCGGCACAGTCCCGAGGTCGGGGCAGCGCCTCAGGCGGGTCGGCGGGGGCAGGTGCGGCGGTTCCGCGCGGCGCCGTGAGGCGGCGGCCGTGGCCGGCGTGCCCGTGGGCGTGCTCCCGGCGGGAGGGCCGCCCCGAGCCCACACCCCCGCCGCCGAGCGTTCGCCTCCTTCGCCGAGAGCCGGCGCGGCGGCGGCCGCTCGCTCTCGGGCCGCTCCCTCCCCCCGCCATGAAGGGCCGTCGGCGGTGGTGCTGGCGGGGGGAGCACCGCCGCTTGGCGCTGCTGCTGGCGCTCTACACGCTGCTGCTACTGCTGCTGGTGCCCTACGTGCTGGACTACGGAGCCCGGCGGGCGCGGGCGGACGAGGAGCCGCTGCTGCGGCGCTGCCCCAGCCTGGAGGAGGCGCTGAGCGAGTGGGGCTGGGAGCAGCGCCCGCCGCCGCCCGGCGACGACGACGACGACGACGAGGATGCGGCGGCGGCGGCGGGGAACGGCAGCGGGGCGGGCAAGCGGCACATCTACCTGCACGCCACCTGGCGCACGGGCTCGTCCTTCCTGGGGGAGCTGTTCAACCAGCACCCCGACGTCTTCTACCTCTACGAGCCCATGTGGCACCTGTGGCAGGCGCTGTACCCCGGCGACGCGCTCAGCCTGCAGGGCGCCCTGCGCGACATGCTGCGCGCTCTCTTCCGCTGCGACTTCTCCGTGCTGCGCCTCTACGCCGCCCCCGCCGCCCCTCGCGACCCGCTGGGCGCCGCGCCGCCCGCCGCCAACCTGACCACGGCCGGCATCTTCGGCTGGCGGACCAACAAGGTGATCTGCTCGGCGCCGCTCTGCCCCGCCGCGCCGCAGCCGCGCCGCGAGATCGGCCTGGTGGACGGCGCCGCCTGCGAGCAGCGCTGCCCGCCGCGGGCGCTGCGCGAGCTGGAGGCCGAGTGCCGCAAGTACCCGGTGGTGGTCATCAAGGACGTGCGGCTGCTGGAGCTGGGCGCGCTGCTGCCGCTGCTGCGGGAGCCCGGCCTCAACCTGCGCGTGGTGCAGCTTTTCCGCGACCCGCGCGCCGTCCACAACTCGCGCCTGAAGGCCAAGCAGGCGCTGCTCCGCGAGAGCATCCAGGTGCTGCGCAGCCGGCACCGCGCCGAGCCCCGCGGGCCGCCCCGCCCGCAGCAGCCTCCGCTCCCGCCCGGCCTGGGGCTGCTGGGCGCCGGGCGGGCCCCCGCGCAGCACCGCGCCGAGTTCTTCCTCGGCGGAGCGCTGGAGGTGATCTGCCAGGCGTGGCTCCGCGACCTGCTGCTGGCCCGCCGCAACCCCGCCGCGCTGCGCCGCCGCTACACGCAGCTGCGCTACGAAGACCTGGTGCGGGAACCCCGCGCGCAGCTGCGCCGCCTGCTGCGCTTCGCCGGCCTGCCCGTGCCTCCCGCCATGGAGGCCTTCGTGGTCAACATGACCCGCGGCGCCGCCTACTCCTCCGAGCGGCCCTTCCTCATCTCCGCCCGCGATGCGCGGGAGGCCGTGCACGCCTGGAGGGAGCGCCTCAGCCGCCAGCAGGTGCGGCAGGTGGAGGCGGCGTGCGGCGAGGCCATGAGTTTGCTCGCGTACCCGCTCAGCGCCGGGGAGCGGCGGTAGGGGATGGATGGAGATCCTCCAGCAGCCAGCGGGGGGCGAGGCGGCCGTGTGCGGCGTGGCCGTCGGGCGGCAAGATCTGAGCGTCTGCTCTGAAGGAGCGTTGGGGACGGCCGCCAAGCTTTGAGGGGACAGCAGGGATGTGCTTCTGAGAGTTTTGAGGTGTTTGGTAGGAGAGGTCCTCACCGGACGGCATCGAGCTCCAAGGCCTACTGGACATGAAACTGACGTACCAAGAGTTGTAAGTTCTTAAAAGTTGTATTAAATTGATAAAAGAGTCTGAGCAAACACTCAGAAAACTCATATAAGAGCATCGCCCTTTCCAGAGCATAAAACATATCTGGTTACACACTGTTACAACACGTGAAGAAAGCATTTGTGGAACTCCCTGTGGGATTTGGCTGCCCATGCCTGGCAGGAGACGCTGTGTCCATGGTCTAGTTACCCTACAGGCACTGCCCGTACCTCCCTCAGCTCCCACCTGCAGCTGTGCCCTCCGAGCACTGGGAGGAGCAACATGAGCATTTGTCTGCTTCTGTGTCTTGAGGACATCTGTTCCAGAAAGTCTGCACTTTTCTAAACTAGACTGTAATCCTTTTTTAAAGAGAAGTGTTCTAAGAAACTGATAGGTGTGATACCAGTGGCGAACGTGCTTTTTGCAGATTCCTTTAGAAGTGACATTATCTGGGAGGTGAATGCTTGACATTTCCATTTTGTTTTCTCAATCAGCTGAGAGAATGCCATTCTATCCCAGCTTCCTGGCTGAGACAATGAGCTGCACAGAGCTCCCATGCTCACATCCCCTCCCAGCGATAACATCCTCTCAGCTGTAGCTCCTGCATGTGGGCAGAGCAAACGCTGCCACACAAGGCTGAGCAATCCATCCTGGCAAAAGAAGTCCCCAACTAAAAGTCTGTATTTATTTAAAAAAAAAAAAAAAAAAAAAAAAAAAAAAAGCAACACATCCTTAAGTTTCATTTTGGGTTTTCAGATGTTGTTTTCCTGTAGATGTTCTCGGGTTCGTATGAGGAGGGTGTGCATGTGTGTGCATGCAAGTCTCTTTTTTTTCCATTGCTTACTTGGGGACAGAAGGTTGAAGATTTGTGGGCACTCACTGTAACTTTTTAGGAACTGCTCTTGCGTCTGTTCTGATCTGACAGCAGCTAAATGGTACCTTGGGAGTACATAAGGCTGTGGAGATGCTGACATACAATCCTCAAGCACAAAGTGAGAACATGAGCTTCAGATGGAGGATAATCCAGGCTCAGAACAAAGCTGTGTTTATATAAAGTGCTGGAAACGAAGGCAGCTCAAAGAAGTCACGTTATCTTACAAGACACGTTTGCATTGCATTGTAGTTTTTCATGCTTTGGGTGTTGCACTGTAAAACATGTCAGTGTGTTAGGACCAACCATAATTTACTGTAGTTCTTTTTCTTCCTTGGCCTTCCCACCCAAGAGCAGTGCCATTAGCATTGACACAGATGCAATCAGGAGCATGCTATTTGTGCTGGTCTGTGTTCAGCAAGTTGCAGCCTAGGAACTGTACGGTGCAGCTGTTAAGCACTCACTTCACTTGGCAGAGAACCTCATCGTGCCAGCTCAGGATGCAGTGGTGTGACACAAGGAGCTGTGGGAAACACACCCTCAGGTTCACTTTTACTGGTTTGTTGTGAGAAGTGTTGTTGTCCAACTGAAATTCATGCTTGTTGCTGATAAAATCCACTAATTGTAAACTAGTCTGTTTTCTGAAACAGTTCCCACACTAGACAGATGTGTTTTCTGTATCAAGATTTATTTTTTCTCCACAGAAGTTTCCTGTTCTCTTTGTTAGTGGTTCATTCAGTTTTTTTCTCACCCCAAGCTGTTCTCCTAAGACCCGATCTAGTTCTTGTCTTTTTGTGTGTGTGTGTGTACCATGAGAAGGGCTCTGTTCTGCAAAGTGTATAAAAATACAGCAAGTGCAATTTCTGTTTTGTGTTCAGGGCATGAGAGTTTATTAGAAGGCCCTGTAAAAAGATCAGCGGGGAACAAACAAAACTGAAAAATGAAGAAGTAGCAGTGAGAGTGCAGGATGTGCAAGAGCACCAAGGGTTAGACAGCAATTGCTCAATGGCAGATGTTGTGACTGCAGCACTTCAGCCCGGGCAGGACCTGCTGCAATGCCACCATCCCAGGAGAACAGCTGAGGCTCACCACCGACTTTGCTCCTAAAGCATTGTGATGGATGTTTACAGCACATCCTTGTTGGCCTGGTAACCTGAACCTTGTAGGAAAAACATTGTAGTGTCAAACAACAGCATCGGTCTGTGCCTGAAAGGACAGAAGAAATGTGTGGGGTTGGGGGTGGGTGCTGGAGCTTTGTGGGAAGAGCTCTCTGGAAGGGCACCCAGCCTGCTGGGTGTTGGGTGCAGGACAGCCAGGGTTAAGCTGCATTTTGGCAGTGGCTGCTCTTCTGTGGCTTGGTTAATGAGCTCTGCTGCTGTGCTGGGCATCTTCTAGAACACAGGGGACCGGTAAGCATGCTGCAGCTGAGCTGAACTTGGCAGGCTGGGAATCAGTCGGTGCTGGGCCGCAGAGCTTTAGTGGTTTAGACTGAGATTTGGGAACAGTCTATGCTTGTGTCATGTTCCATGTAATGAATTAACAGGCTTAATCTGTTAAGTCGTAGTTGGAACTGGGAACAAAACCGACGAATGCTTACACCATTATTTCTGTCATCTGGTTTTACTTTTTACTTTTTACTGGTTTATTTTTTGATCATGGTGCTTGCCTTAAGGGAGGTAGAAACTTGAGTCCTCTAATCGTATGTAAAGTGCTTTGCTCTAAGCGAGGTATTTCCGTGCTGGAATTGCTGATTGCTCTGTTCCCATCTTATATCTGTACTTAAACTGCTGGGCAACAACTGCAGTGACACGCTTGTGAGAAGCAGTGAAAGCACAGAGTGAAGAAACACACAGCCCCTTGTGTTACTTACACGTGCTGACACATCACTTGCAGATCCCCACGCTGTGTACTCACATACTCACATACTTTAGATACCATGGAAATGTTTTCGTTGCACTGAGGTGTTTATTTCTTCGGTTTCTGTTTGCCAGCACAAAGCTCTCGCTGATGCAGAATCCACCGAGGAATGCTGGAGCGGTCGTGGAGAATGGTAGCAAAGTCACTTATGGAGGAGCTGTGGTGTTGCATTGCTCTGCTCGGTGTTGTCCCCGCTCACTGAATATGGTGAGAAGTTCTGAGTTTCTACGTGAAATTCTCTTCACACATCACTACTGCAGCTTTCAGTAAGCCAGATTATGAAAACCAGTGCAGAACTCCTGGGTTTATTACAGTCATGCAATTGGACAACATTTTGGTGAAGAACAGAGCTCTGTAGACCCAAAGGCATTGAAGTGGTGGTTTCTGCAGGCATGGGACTTGATGTACTGCCTGCCAGTGATACTGTCTTTGGCACCAGGCAAGTGTGGCTTCCATCACCAAGCTGTTGTGCCCTGCTGATGACCTGCACGCTGTTTCTTGGTGTTAGTGAACAGGAATCAGGGCTTTCCCCGATGCCGCCAAGTTTTTCTCCCTGTTTCTAACTGTCTAACTTTGACAAACTTCAACTGTATTTAGGCTGAATCTTTTAATGTTGGGCTCGAGGTTTAATTCTCTCTGTGGAACTTAATTCAGTGGAGTGCATCTTCTTTAAAACCAGGGTTGGGATGTGGTGGTGTTGCACCCACATCCAACTGCTCTCAGAGATGGCTCTGTGAGGTCATTTTGTCACTGTGGCGCTGTGGGAGAAGTTTGGGCTGGGGGAATGACTTCCATGTAAGCAATGCACGTGTTTGGTTTTTACTGTTACTACTCTCAGTTGGCCAAATCTTTGCAAAAAAAGCTGTTAGCATGTGCTAGTAAAAGTGGTTTTTGTATGTTTCCGTGTCTTTATTTTACACCAGAAAACATCTGCGTTGGTCTTACCTTCAGTGAACGCTCTCAAACCTCTGTGTTCTCATGAAAAAGGCACATGTATGATGGCAGTGTCTTAATTACCCATGCTCAGGGTGAATTAACTCAGACTTTTAGTAGATACAGAGAAATATCAAGTGCAGTAGAAGCCCTCTACCTTGGAGAAGACAGAGCTGTTCACTCCGTTTAGCCTGAAAGGAAAGATGGAAGGAGGACAGCAGCATGCAGCAGAATGAATAGCAGAGAGGCGGAGAGGTAGTCATGCCATGGACAGCTTTGGCACCAGAACAGGGATTTGTACGTGAGTAGTGAATCACTTTAGCCTGGCAGCTGGAAGTGTGGTTCTGGAGCAGGCTTCCAAATGGAGTTTGTTCCGGAATACTCTGTAATAAGTTCACACCATTTAAAAATTCTGGTCATTTTGTCTTTACCACGATTTGAGTACAGTTTACCAGAGCTGTACTATAAATGAAAATGAGAGCAAAAACCACATCATTAACTCAGTAATTTTTGCTCTGTTTTCTCGGAAGTCAGGAATGCCCCCAGCAGCCAGGATGCCTGCTGATAAAAGTGCTCTCTGCCATCAGTTAGAATCATTTCTTGCTTTAAGTCTTTTTATTTCTCCCTGTGGGTGCAGAGAACAGTCTGCCACCATTTCCTTCTGGAAACTTTGTCGCTTTGCCTTAGCAGAAGCACATGTTATACGATTGTTTATTACACAACAGCAACAAGAAGCACAAAAAAACTCCATGTTAATCAGCTTTAAAGCTTATTAGCTTCCTGTTCAGGCTGCAGTTGTACCATTCTAGTTCCGACACAGCACTCTGGGGCTCATTCATCCTTTTGCACTGAGCAACTTCCATGCTCCAGGTGACTCAAGCCACAGAACTCCTCCAAGTGCTGCCTTAATGCCACCATATCAGATAACCAGATAACCAGATAAATGTTTGTACAACATCAAATTCGTGAAGAGAGGTGTTCTCACCTACCTGCCATGCCTTGAGTTGCTTCTTTCTGATTGAGTCACTATTATACTCCTGAGGAGTGTAGTATGAATTTCATTTTCCACCATAAATTGTAAATTGGAGCCATAGCTTGCAGCGATTCTTGGTAAATCCTTACCAGAATATTTATGCAGGTGGACTCTTCTGAGAACTTACAATCAAAGCTGCTACATTCACACTGGAAGCATCAATCTGATATTACTCAAACTTTGTTCCTGGGTTGAAAAGGAGCCAACCTTTATCTTCTGACAAGATTTTATGTGTAGTTGTCTTAATACTTCCATGGAGAATAAACTTCTTGCTGCTCTTGGCTCCCTGCTCTAGGTTAATGTGTTCCCTGTAGACTGGTCATGGTAACCTTGAAGGAAACTCCTAGAAAGCAGTTTTAAAACCAAGCAAACTCAGATCATTTTGTAACTGACTTACAGGTGGCTTGCTGTGGAAGTACAGCAGCTGGCTAAAAAACAGTGCAGAGGAAAAGGGTCTGTGAAGTGTTAGTTGACAGCCTTCTGAGTATGAACCAGCAGTGTGCCCAGGTGGCCTAGGGCATCCTGCCTTGTATCAGAAATAATGCAGCCAGCAGGAGCAGAGAGGTGATCATCTCTATACTTGGCCTTGGTGATGATGCACCTTGAGTGCTACATTCAATTTTGGGCCCCTCACTACAAGAAAGGCATTGAAGCCCTGCAGTGTGTCCAGAGAAGGGCAATGAAGCTGTGAGGGGTCTGGAGCACAAGTCTGATGGGGAGCAGCTGAGGGAACTGGGATTGTCAGCCTCGAGAAGACGAGGCTCAGGGGAGACCTTACTGCTCTCTACAGACTCACATCCCCAGAGGTGTTCAAGAACTGTGAGCATGTGGCAGTGAGGGACATGGTTAGCAGGTATGGCGGTGGTTTGATGGTTGGACTAGATGATTTCAGACATCTTTTCCAACTTCAGTGATTCTATGATTCTATTGCGTGGAATATGCTTAAATAGGAGATAAGTCTCCTGTGATGTTATGAACAGAATAAGTTTGAGGTAAGCATTTGGTTAATACAACTTCTTCCTCTGCTAATGATGCTTTGATACGGTGAATGCTGAAGCAGTGAGAGGTCCCACAGAGTAATTCCCAAGACCGACTTTTGAATGTCTGTAGGCTTTTGTCTGCCTGTGAGATGGTAATTCTGCATTTGCTTTAAACCAATGAGGGTAAAAAAAACTTCTGGGAAAGCGGATAGTTCCTCTTTAATGCAGCTGCAGCACTATAAGCATCTTTAGATCTGAGCACCAATTTAAAAACTACTTTGTAATGTTGTGGCTGCGACTGGTGAGATGCCAGCTTAGCATGCTTCCATTGCTCAGAGTAGACATAATCATGTAGCATTTAAATACATTTTCTTGTCCCATAAGAAGAGAAGCAGGCTTGGTTTTAATATTTTTAATAGATGTGAATTTGATAGGTTTATTTCATTAATCAGATGGTTCAGAACACCTAAACAGTGGATTTAGAAAAAGTTACATTTCTAAGCACTGCACAAATCTGACTGTGAATTTTGTTTATGAAAAACAAACAAAACTGAAGAACCTCTTTGCTCCCAGCTTCAAAAACACACACGGCTTCTGGTACTGTGAGTGTGCTGCAGAAGTCAGTCGGTCCTATGTGTGTGGGTTAGCCTGGTGGGAATAACAGCTTTCACTTAGTGATCCCATTCTTGCTTAGGGAAAACAGGAGGTCAATGGATGAACAAAATTCAGTTTCTTTGCAAACACTGAACTTGGTTTAAACACCTATGATATCTTGCAACAGAAAAGCGATATTAGGTTGCAAACACAAACATCTTTATTGTTTATATTAGGGAATACACAGAATGCCCGGGGCAAAGAAAGACATTATCGAACTTCCACAGCTCATCAGACACAGTTCAGTTCTTATCAGCATCTCATACCACTATTTCCACTCCTCCCCTGTTTGATCTAGTTCAAATATCCAGCTGGTGTTTGCGCACTGAGAAGTTACTGAGAACCCTTAAAAAGCCTAATTAGTCACAACTTGAGAAGGATACTCCCAGCTATCTGAGAAAAACGTAATGGAAAAGAGCAATAGATTATTTGGATGGAAAAAAAAAAGGACAGAAGATCTGAAAACAAGTAACATTAAAAGCATCAGTTGCTCATTGTCCTGAACAAAGAAGCCCCGTGGTTGTAGGCAGGAAATAGCTGTAATCTTCTTAGGGCTTTGCTTTCCAATATAACACTTGGTAATGTTGAAGAAGAATTCTTTTCTCATTAAATACCAGATGTGAACTTCATCCCTTACCCGATTACATGGTTTTGCACATTCACGTTTCAAATGCCCAAACCTACTGAACTACAGCAAACCATGACTTCTCACGTTCAGATTTACTGCAGAGCTTCCTTCCCTTCCTGAGCGCTGGGTGAACTGGAGCAAGAAGGGTGGCTTGCCCTCACTCAGAGCAGGTAGAGGAACTGCACTACCTTGTCTGGAAGTTCCTGCTGTGCATGTACAGTGTGATATTGGAAAAGTTACACTCTCAAGCATAGAGCAGGTGTAGGCTTCAGCCCAACTTCATGACTGGAAAGGATCAAGAAAGACTGCTATCTAAAACACGTTCCAGTTCCAACCTCACTATACTACCCTGACTTCAACAACCCTCCACTAAATCACGTCCCTGAGCACCACATCCAAACGGATTTTAAACACATCCAGGGATGGTGACTCCCCCACCTCCCTGGGGAGCCTATTCCAGTGCTTCACAACCCTTTCTGTACAGAAGTGTTTCCTGATATTCAACCTAAACTTACCTTGGTGCAACTTGAGGCCATTTCCCCTCGTCCTGTCACCAGTGAGAAGAGACCAACCCCGCTCTCACTGTAAGCACCTTTCAGATACTGGGAGAGAGCAATAAGGTCTCCCCTCAGCCTCCTCTTCCCCACACTAAACAGCCCCAGTTCCTTCAGTCTCTCCTTGTAGGACATATTCTCCAAGCCCTTCACAAGCCTTATTGCCCTCCTTTGGACCTGCTCCAGTGGCAGTCCCCTCTATCACACCCATATTGATGTACATCTACATTTTACTGCTGCTTACAATAATATTTATTGTCAGCTGTTTGTGGCCCTTTCTTAAATAACAGGTAATCTGAGCAAGTGTTGAATACTCTTGTGAGGGAATCATTAATTACATTTAAGGATGGGAACTCCGGTTCTGCGTTGTGAGGACATAGCTGAGCTGCTGGCATTAACCTCAGAGAACAATCCACCCTCCTGACTTCTCAGCTGAAGTACAGAACATACATGCACGTGCCAAGCTGCCACCATTACCAATCAAATCAGAGGTTCGATAGATGACCTGAATCCAGATGGCATGGCCGTGGGTTCTCCTGGTGCAGCACACAGTAACTCCACGTAACTCCAGTGACCTGTACAGTAGTGGTAGGAACGCATACATACCCGCTGCTTCTCAGCAACTCCAAGGTCTACATTGAGCTGTGAACACAGCGTGGAAAGTAAAGACAAAGCACTTGGCTGACCTGTAACAGGTGTCTTTGTTCACAATGAACCTGAAACTTTTAACAAAGCAGGAGCTCCATGCAACACGCAAGCCTCTCATTTTTGGAAAGGAGTGCAAGGACGAGGAATTATCCTTGTGTTCAAATGTAGCCAGGAGTACCAGCTGTGGAATTCTCTTGAAAAGGTAGGCAGAAGAAAGGGAAAGGCATAATTAGGTAAGGGATGGAAAACAGGACCAGCTGATGATCTGGTAGCAGTTTCCTGCCTAGTCGTCTTGTTTATCATTTTGGTATATAGCCTGCAGCAATTATGTCACTGGGAGAACCAATAAACCTGATGCTGCCCCTTCCAGTCATGGCCTAAACCAATGTCAAGAGCCCAAGCCAGCAATTTCTGCCTGAATGTACTGCCACTCTGTTGTGTTGTTTCATGTCAAGTCATGCTGCGC